CTGAAGCTTTTATAATTGGGAGAATGGTATTCAGAAAAAAATGATTTTAAGACTTTGATGAATGCCTTGTTAGGACTTCTCCCAGGGCTCATGCAGTTAAGTAGCCCAGATACTTAGGTTTCATTAGCTTGACAGTCAGTCTACTTCTGTTGTGTTTATTTTCTCTCTCTCTCTCTCTATTTTTTCTCATTTGAAAAATTAGGGTATCATTTGTGTACAGAGAAATCCACCGTTTTTACTGTATCTCTCTGTGAGCTTTGACAGAGGCTTGCAGTCACGTAATTGCCACCGGTGCAAATGCATTAGGTTCAGCACCTCCAAAACTTCCCCCCCGGCCCTTTTGTGGTCACCAGCGCCCCCCACACCAGTCTCTGGTAACTCATTGCTTTTCCCTCTCTCTAGTCTTGTCTTTTTCTGAATGTCATATAAATGGAGTCAAGTAGTGTGTCGTCTTTTGAGTCTGGCTGCTTTCACTTAACCTCGTGCATTTGGATTTCATCCGTGGCATTGCACGCATCACCCACTCTGCCCGGCACTGGAGATACTGAGATGGGGGAAAGGCCTGGTCCCTGCCCTCAGAGAGCTCTGACGCTGAAGGCACTTGGGCCTGTCGTCATGTGCCTTTTCTTCCACACTTTGCACACAGGGCTCTGCTCTACCAGCTATCTAGCTCTGACACACCTGTCACCCCAGCCATGTTGTGATTGCCCAGAGGACGAAATCTCTGACTGTCTCAAGGTATCAAGTTGGACTGGAGAGAAAGCAAGGAGTTTGGAGCTAGGCAGACTGTTGGAATCCAGGTCGCCCACTGGGCGCCTCTGTGACTTGTTGTTGGACTCAGAATCAGGGTAGGGACTGGTTAAATGTCTGGTGAATGAATGAATGGGTGAATGAATGAATGGATGAATTTAACCGCCTTAAGCCCCAGGTCTCTCCTTTGTAAGACAGAACAAGAGTGGTCACTCCACCTGACTGCCGTGGGGCTCAGCGCCTGGTGGGCATTGGCAGAGTTTGTCTTGTTCCCATCCCCTTCCATGGAACCCTTCGGCACTCTCCCCCAGACAGGTACACGTACACTGTGCAGACCTCAAGCTGGCTGGACCCTGACAGAGGACAGCACCAACACCTGCCAGACGGGAGCCAGGAGGGCACCTGCTAAGAAAACAAGTCCCAGGAAAACCCACAGGCACCTGCTGACCTGTCCCCCGCCCACCCCCACAGCTCAGCTCAAGGAGCCCGTCCTACTCATCCCCTACCCCCTCTTTCATGGTACAGACGGGAGGACCCATCAGTCCTTCCCTCTGCCCAAATACATACCAGGCATGGGGCTTTAGAGGAAGTCCACAAGAAGGAGAAGACCCTAACCCTTCAACAGAGGAACTACCAACTGAAGGTCAGGTCTCTGGCTCTGAGATCTGGGGAGAGGGCCTGGGCTGGGAGGTGGGCAAACATAGGCAATCGAAAGTGAAGCGTCCCTTCTGCAAAACAGACTCAGCAAGACACGTCACAATGGTTGTGATGATTGTACCCAGTCATTGGTGTGATTACCTGTGTGTGGGCTGCCTTCTCTACCAGCGGTCCGTGGCACATAGTAGGTGCTCATCACATCTTTAGTGATGGAATGAAAAATGCTTTATGGTTAAAAGAACTGGCATTTAGCTGAACATGGTGGCTGTCATCCCAGCACTTTGGAAGGCAGAGGTGAGAGGATTGCCTGAGCCCAGGGGTTCAAGACCAACCTGGGCAACTTGGCGAGACCTCGTCTCTGTAATAAAAAATTTAGCCAAGCATGGTGGCACTCACCTGTGGTTCCAGCTACTTGGAAGGCTGAGGTGGAAGGATAACCTGGACTCAGGAGGTCGAGTTTGTGGTAAGTTATGATCGTGCCACTGTACTCCAGCCTCAGCAACAGAGTGCGTTTCTGACTCAAAAAAAAAAAAAAATTGACATTTGAAGTTACTATTTCTGCAGCAGGGAAGCGAAGGGAACTAGTATTTGTGATTCTCTAGGTATCTCTGGAATGTTGAATCTTTACCCACAGTCTCTGCTGTTGAAATAGATGTTCTTGGTCTCTATCCCCAGGGAAACAGGTTCAGAGGAGTTAAGAAACATGCCTGCCATCCCGCAGCTGGTCATTGATGGAGTGTATTCAAACTCAGGTCTGATGTCAAAGCCCAGCCTCTTCCTACCCCACAAAATAAAGCTGGGTTCCCCAAGAATAGAAATCTCTACAATTAAGACTTTAAAAAACAAACAAAAAAAGATTCAAACTGACATTTGAGAGCAGGATTTGAGTGGGCTGGATTGTAGTGTGTAACAGCGTGAATTGAAAATTTACAGAATGTGTGTTCCTGCTTGCATCAGACTTTTGTGCTTTTCCGAGTTGGGTTTGGGAGCACTGGAATCCAACTTAATTTCAGATTTTTGCAGCACACATTACACACAGCTTTAAATTAGCATAAAACCCCCTCTCCGCACTAAGAAAGGCAGTGTGGCCTTGGCGACTGTCATGGATGAGGAGACAGGAGGCCTGGGTTTGACTCTTGTTGAGTAGGAGATCCCTGAACCACCCTGAGGCTGTTTTTCATTTGTAAGTTGAGAAAGTAACCCCGGTTATCTCAGAGGGGTGCGGTGTGTATCACGTGTGCAGATAAGCAAATGAGATGTTTGTGGGGGGATCACCCCAGGAAGAGTTGTGTGTGTGTTAGTGGTCCCAACTCTGCGGAGAAGAGCAGGGCATGAAACAAACCACTGGGACAGGAAAGACTTCAGAGAAAGACCGGCAGAATCACACGTCACGGTGAGAAAGAAGAATGGGCTCATTTCTTTTCTGCCAAGATCAGCTCAGCTTGAGAGAAAACCTCATTTGTGTGAACAGTTGGTGTGCCTGGAACCCTGTCATCATACTGCCACCTGGTGTCAGCAAATATGTAATGCAGGGCCAGTGTGGACGTCTGTTAGGCAAGGAAGCAGGCGACATTCTCCTTCCCTCTCTCCTAGTCCCGGTTCATGTATTCATTCAGGACATCCATTCATTCAGGTTCCAAGCCAGCGGTCCCTAAGTTTTTGGCACTGGGGACTGGTTTCATGGAAGACTTTTTCCTTGGATGCGGGGGGTGGGGGGATCCTGGGGCCATCAGGTATTAGATTCTCATAAGGAGCACACGCACAGTTCACAACAGGGTTTTGCGCGTCTATGAGAATCTAATGCCACTGCTGATCTGATAGCAGAAGGAGCTCCTCTAACCTGCCACTCACCTCCTGCTGTGTGGCCTGGTTCCTAACAAGTCACGGGGTTGGGGACCCCTGCTCTAAGCTGTGCACTAGAGAGTCAGGAAAGAAGGCAGTATAACATAGCAGTGAGGAAGTGGGCTGGGGAGTCAGACAGACCTGGGTTCGAGTCTGGCCTCTTCCCTTTACTAGTTGTGAAACTCAATTATTTATTTTCATTAAGCCCCAGTTTTCTAATTTCTAATTTCTAATATGAGGAAATGATAATACCTGTCCCATATGAAGATGGAAGGTGCTCATGCTTGTAGATGAGTTTGCACAGTGAGCACTCAATCATAATAATGATAATCATTTAGGAGCCAAAATGTCCCATGGGCCAGTTCTGCTGTTTTCCTGTTTTCTTCTACTAGCATATTAGAAAGTCGCAGTGGGTAAGCAGAAGCCTGAGGGTTGGGACCCATGGCAACCAAAGCCCAGGTGCTGGGCTGTGCTATGGGAACAGGGCTGTGTGCCCAGACTGAGCAACTCTCTGCCCAGCTTAAGCTTCTAGAAAACCATTGTGAGTGAGGACATTCTCTGGGGCAGCATGGTGGTGGTCAGGGTTTCTCAGGTACACTTGGAACCCAGGCCCACGGCATATCTGAGACAGTTGTTTCAGAGCCAGTGCCTCAGCGGGCCTGATGCATTCTGGTGTTGTGAGCCCTTGCTTTGTCACACATGGACCTTCTGATACCAGAAGGTACTGGTTGTCTCAGAGCTTGGAGGCTGGTACTCAGGTCAACTTTATCCACTTTTGGAGACACAAAACACTGCTCGCATATGAGTGTGATGTCCTCCAAATACTTTTGTTTTGTTTGTTTGTTTATTTGAGTTGGAGACTCACTCCATCACCCAGGCTGGAGTGCAGAGGCACGCTCATGGCCACCCTAGCATCAACCCGCTGGGCTCCGGCGATCCTTCTGCCTCAGCCTTCTGAGTAGCTAGAACTACAGGCATGCGCCACCACTCCCGGCTAATTTTTATTTTATTGCAGGTCTCATCAAGTTGCCCAGGCTGGTCTCGAACCTGCGGGCTCAGGCCATCCACACACCTTGGCCTCCCAAAGTGCTGGGATGACAGGCTGAGCCACCAAGCCCGGCTGCTTTTGTTTTTTTACAGGTTAGGTTTATTGAGGTGAAACTGGTAAGATTCACTCTTTGGAGTGTGGATTTTTTGAGTGTGAGTTTTTTGTTTTTGAGTTGGAGTCTCTGTCGCCCAGGCTGGAGTGCAGCAGCACGCTCACAGCCACCCCAGTGTTGACCTTCTGGGCTCCAGAGATTCTTCCACCTCAGCCTTCCAAGTAGCCAGAGCTACAGGCGCACGCTACCACGCCCGGCTAATTTTTTGACTTTTATTGTAGAGACGAGGGCTCGCCAAGTTGCCCGGGCTGGTCTCGAACCCACAGACTCAGGCAATCCAGCCGCCTCAGCCTCCCAAAGTGCTGGGATGATAGGCTGAGCCACCGAGCCCGGCCTGTAAGTTTTAATTCTGAGTTTTGACAAACACTCACAGTGACGTGCGCTGCTCTTCAGTCAAGGCACAGACCTGGCCCCTCCTCCCCCAGATTCCTTCACACTCCCAGAGTCAACCCCTCACGCCACCACTGGCCCTGGCAACTACGGATCTGCCTCTCCCCATACGCTTCCCTTTCTCAGAGGAGCATGTAAGTGGAGTCTTCTCGCACGTTTCCTTCTGAGTGTGCTGCTTGTGCTTCCTGTCATGCACCTAAGATGCCAAATGCTTTTGACTGCAGCAAGGTTAGTGGTTCTGAGAGCAGCATGGAAAATCAGTAGTATTCCTGTGTGCCATTAATAACCAGTAGAAAATCTAATTTTAAAAATCTGCAGGACCACAAAAAGCCCGAAGTGCCTAGGAATAAGACAGAACGTGTCTGAGACCATCATGGAGAAATTACAACATAGCATAAAAAGACACAAAGAAATAGACATGACCATGTTCACACAGAGAAAACCTGATATCATAAAGATGGTGATTCCTTTCAAGTAAATTTTATGAATTCAGTGAAATTCCAACCAAAATCTAAATAAGGTTTTTCGTGAAACTTGGCAGGCTGTCGCAAAATTTAGGTAGGAAAACAAAGGTTCAAGAATAGCCAAGACAATTTTAAGAATATCAGGATTTATTATAAAGGAATGGTTATTATTAAGATATTGTGGTATAGGTACATGGTTAGACAGTAAATCAGTAAGCTAAAGAGCTGAAAATAATACCTATGCATGTTGGAAACTTTATATATGACAGGGGTAGCACTGTAAATCAGTGGGATGGGACAGTTGGGATTCTTTCAGAAAAGAATACAATTGAATCCCTAACTCACATTATACATAAAGATCAATTCTAAATGAATTGAAACCTAGAAATGAAAAAGCACAATTAAAAACTCTTTTAAGAAAATATGTGTGACCAGGATTTCCTCAACAAGCTATAAAAGATTAATGTATGTGTCTATATAAAATTTAAAGCTTCTGTACAACAAAAGTCATCACAAACCAAGTTTTTCTGAGGCTTGCATTCGGGAAAGACATTTGCAATGCATATGCGCAATAAAGAATTTATGCCCAGAATTCACAAAGAATTTCTACTAAGAGAAAGGACAACCTAATGGAGGGATATAAACAGGCCAGTTAAGCAGCCCAGATGGCCAATAGACATAAAAAGTCGCTCAATTTCCCTGGTAATTGAGGAAATGCAAATTAAAATAAATATAGGATGCCATCCTACACCCATCAAAAATTAAAAAATTAAAAAATCTGACTATATCAGTGTGGCAAGAATGGAGAGCAGTAAATCTCTTCTATACTTACAGGAAGGGGCATGAGTTGGTACAATCACTCTGGCAAGTAGTTTTCATGATCTGGTGGAAGATGCTATCTGTACCTCATGACCCAGCAGTTCCATACTGAGTATACATACACCCTAGAGAAGGTCTCAGACATACACGTTCAAGCCAAATGCGGTGGCTCACGCGTGCCATCCCGGCACTTTGGGAGGCAGAGGCGAGAGGAGTGCCTGAAGATTGTTCAAGACCAGCCTAGGCAACTTGGAGAGATCTCGTCCCTATAATAAAGCAAAAAATTAGCTGGAAGTGGTGGCACGTGCCTGTAGTCCCAGCTACTTGGAAGGTTGAGGCATAAGGATCGCCTGAGCCCAGCAGGTCGAGGCTACTGTGGCCATGAGCGTGCCACTGCCCTCCAGCCTGGGCGACAGAGTGAGATCCCAACTCCAAAAAAAAAAGGAATGTTCATCACAGCCCTGTTAGTAATAGGGAAAGTTGGAAGGAACCTTAAGTGTATATAAACAGAACCAGTAAATTGTGATATGTTCTTATAGTGAAGTGTTCTTATAGTGAAGTGGTTAAAATGATTAGAACGACAAATGTCAACATGGGTCAAATTTCAAAACTGTAAGGTTTAATGAAAAAAAAATAAAAATGGAATACATTTTGTGCGAGTCCATGTATGTAATGCTTAAACAGTTATAAACTATTTTTTTCTGTTTAAGCATGGCTCATGGAGTTAATAAAAATATGGTGAGAATGATAAACACGAAATTCAAAATAGTGATGACTTTTGGGGAGGAGGGAGAAGGTGGTATCAGGAAAGTGTGTGTAGGGGACTTCAAATATTCTATCTTGTTTTCAAGTTTTTTCCAAGTTAAAAATTATAACGTATTTTTTGAAATGGCAAAAGGAGCTACAAGAACCAAGGAGCTTTAGAGTAGAGAATAAAAACGGATTTGGAGGTGAGTTCTCATAAAAAGTGGTAAGAATGGATTAATGCGTTTTTAGAAAAATACTTCAGAGAACAGTGATTGGAAAATATATATTTTATTGTATTAAGATCAAAAAGCACAGAGCATGATCTGTGTACACTTTAATATCTTTTGATGCATAGATGAAAGAGTGTGCCTTCATTAATGGGAAGACCTTTCGTGCGAATTCATTTCTTAGATATAACCCACCATTCTAAAAAATTCTAAAATATCACCCATGCACACAGAAAAGTGCATAGGGCATATGTGTACAGTTTAAATATACATTTGTCACTAAAAGCAAATCTCTGTGTAACAACTAGGCAGATCAAGAAAAAGAGAGTTCCAGAAGTCTTCGTGTGGTGTACCGTTTTTTCCCTGTGATTTGTTTTATAATGGTATAAACAAGTGTATACATAGGCTTGTTATTTCGCTTACATTTTAAAAATACATTTTAGAAAAGATATTGCTGGCATCGGTTCTTTAAAATTTTCAACATAACTTTGGATTGAGACATATTGTTTCGACTCTGGGGGGCCTAAGAAGGGTGTGGAAAGTACTGGTTTGTTTCATGGTCTGTAGAGGTCTTGGCCACAGTCAGCAACTGGGGTGCCACAGCGTGGAGCCGTGCCCTAGGCTGGCCCTCGCTCCCTGCAGGCTCTGAGGAATTGTGAACTGTCCTCAGCACCTTTTTATTTTTTGAGTTGGGGGTCTCCCTCTGTCGCCCAGGCTGGAGTGGAGTGGCATAGTCACGACTCACTACAGCCTCAACCTCCTTGGCTCAGGTGATTCTCCTGCCTCAGCCTCCCGAGTAGCTGGGACTATGGGTACACGCCCCGACACCCAACTAATCTCTTGGGGGATCTTTTTGTAGTGACGTGGCCTCACTGGGTTGCCCAGGCTGGTCTCAAAACTCCTGGGCTCAAGCAGTCCTCCTACCTCGGCCTCCCAAAGTGCTGTATTACGGGCATGAGCCTGGGCACCCAGCCTCAGCCATATTTACAGTTAATTCACGTGAGCAGTGTCTTTCGTCTCCTGGCCAGAGTTCCAGGAGTAGCTTCAGAACTGGGTTTCCCCTGTCATTGGCCAAGGGGCTACGTGCATAGTCTTGACCATTCTGGACCATCCCCTCCTATCTAAGCATCTGCTGTCTTTCCTGGAATGTTGGGCATTTAAAACAATTCTTGTGGTAGGTTGCTCTTGGTGGCCAGGCAAAGTGTCCATGACGCGAGGGCCAGGAAACGACACACTAGGCCAGGGTTCTCGGCCGTGGCACTGTTGACATTTTTGACTGGATAACTCTTTGCTGTGAGGGGCTGCCCTGTACATACAGGATTGGTTAGCAGCATGCCTGGCCCCTACCCACCAGATGTTAGTGGCACCCTCTAAGCGGTCACAACCAGATGTCTCTAGACATTGCCCAGGGACATCTGGGAAGCGAAGTCACCCCTAGCTGGGAACCACTGCATGAGAGCGTAGTGGCGCTGCAGCTGGTGGGGAGGGCTGGGGAAACCAGCTGGATCAAGAAACCCAGCAGTTTTTGCTGTTGTGAATAGAGCTGCAACAAACATACGTTTGCAGGTGTCTTTTTTGTAGAATGATTTGAATTCCTCCGGGTATGTTCCCAATAAGGGAATTGCTGGGTCATATGGAAGGTCAATTTCTAGTTCTTTCAGAAATTGCCACACTGTCTTCCAAAGAGGTTGCACTTGTTTGCATTCCCACCAGCAGTGTAGAAGCATTCCTTTTCTCCACGCCAGTATCTGTTGTTGTTTGTTTTATTAATGATGGTCATTCTTACAGGGGTTAGGTGGTATTTCAATGTGGTTTTTGATTTGCATTTCTCTGATGATGAGTGAGGCTGAGCACTTTTTCATATGTCTGTTGGCTGCCCGTATATCTTCTTTTAAGAAGTGTCTATTCATGTCTTTTGCCCACTTTTTAAAGGGGCTGTTTGTTTTTTTTCCTTTCGCTGCATTTGAGTTCCTTGTAGATCCTAGATGTTAGGCCTTTGTCAGATATACAGTTGGCAAATATTTTTTCCCATTCTGTGGGCTCTCTCCCTGCTCTCTTGATGGTTTTTTTGACTTTGCAGAAGCTCGTTAATTTGATGAGGTCCCATTGAAGCTGAACTGGATACAAATATGAGGTACCTATACACAATGGAATATTATGCAGCCATAAGGAAGGACAAATATATGGACTTTGCAGCAACTTGGATGGATTTGGAGTCGATCATACTCAGTGATTTATCTCAGAAACAAAGAACAGAATTCCATATGTTCTCCCTCATCAGCGGACCTTGAACAATTATTATAATACTATAAGAAAACGGTTGGCAGTAGTGGGAAACTGCTGGGGCGGGGGGCAGTGGGATTGGCAGTTGAGGGAAACTGCTCGGGGAGGGAGGGGCACCTCATCAACAAGGGTACCTGCATGATCAATATTTGTATACCTAACCCTGAAATGTACCCCACATCTTTATAATAAAAATTAAAAAAAAAAAAGAAACCCAGAAGGAAGGTCCTTGGAGCCAGTGAATAGGGGTGGGACTTCCAGGAACTGTTGACAGAGGAAGGGAGGGTGGGCACAGAGGCTGCGTGGTGCAATGTGAACGCCCTTAAGGGACAACCTGGTGAGTGTGCCAGTGCAGACCCCAGGCTCTGAGGACGGTACTCAAGCCTTCCGCAACCCCTCTGCTCAAGTCGCCCTTAGGCTCGGAAGGAGCTGCGAACCTCCTGGTTGTCTTGCCACTTTCCTCCTTGTCAAGACAGTATTGTGGGTACAGCTAGTGGGGTAAGGTCCTTGGAGAGAGACGGCAAGCGTTTGTTTATTCACTCAACAGACACTTGCGAAACACCCACTTGAGCAAGGGATGTACCCCTTCCATTGCCCAGGACTGTCTGACCTGGAAGGGGAGACTCTCAACCAGCACACGCAGCCCCCGCAGAAGGAGGCAGGCTCGGCTGTCAGGCTGCCTGGGTTCACATCCCAGCTCTGCACCTGGCTGTTGCATCTCCTTGGGCAAGTGAACGATGTCCCGGTCTGTCAAACGGGGTGGCGAGAATGCTCATCCCACCTGCCTGGGAGAGAGTTGACAGAGGGTGCTCAGTCTGTAGGACAGCACCTGGCATTAGAGAGCACCCAGTGATACTGTTTTAAATGTCGTATCACTTCTTTCACAGAAACAAAGCACTGAGTGTCAAGTGTTCTCACTCATAAGCAGATTTTGAACAACTATCGTGATACTATAAGAAAGGGATTGGCAGTGGTGGGAAACTGCCAGGAGAGGGAGGGGCACACCTCATCAACAAGGTACCTGCAAAATGACCATGTGTATACCTAATCCTGAATCGTACTCCACATCTTTAAAATAAAAAAATTAAAAGTTAAACATAAATAAATAATAAATGTTGTATCACTACTTTATACGGGCGGTGACAGACTTAACAGTATCGAGAAAATTGAGGATGGGCTCCGTGGCTCAGCCTGTCATCCCAGCACTTTGGGAGGCTGAGGCGAGTAGATTGCCTGAACCTGCAGGCTCGAGACCCACCTGGGCAACTTGGTGAGACCTTGTCAAAAATTAGCCTCGTGTGGTGGCGCGTGCCTGTAGTTCTAGCTACTTCGAAGGCTGAGGTGGGAGGATCACTGGAACCCAGCAAGTGGAGGCCGTGGTGGCCGGGAGCGGCCACTGTGTTCCAGTCGTCTGGGTGACAGAGTGAGACTCCAACTCAAAAAAAAAAAAAGAAAATTGAGGGAAGAGTGGCCAAAGACTTCACAGAAGAAGTGGCATTTTTGAGGGGGGGTCTTAAAGGGTTAGTGGGGCTTTATCAGGAGAACCAACAAAGTTGTGGGGCTGGGGGAAGCTCACGCACTGAGATTCAGGCTGCAAATAGAGCAGCCAGGAAGTCACAGATTGTGAACAAGCATGGCTTTGGTGATCCCAAGGGGTGGGAAGTAAGGTGGGTGGGCCATGGAGACCGAAGAGCAAATTCATCCATGGTGGGACCCTGTAGAGTCAAAGGGGCACAGGCAGGGGATGCTGGTAACCAGTTCATGCCAGAAGACTCCAGCCTACCAAGCAGAGGCCTCCCTGTCCGTGTTTCTTGTGACTTCCCAGCCCTGTGACACTCAGGGGTCGCGGCTCGGCATTCACAGGGTGGTCATCTGTGGGGTCGCACTCTGCTTTCCACCCCTCTCTCCGCTGTTGCTCAGGGCCCGGGCTGCAAACCGTTCTGGCAGACCTAGGTAATAACCAAGGCATCTGTGCCCAAGGAGTGGCATGTTTCTTTCCCTGGTGTCCATGGCACTGTGCCCGAGGTTTTGCTGAATCAGCCCAGGGCCGCCTGGCATCTGCCCTGCCACCAAGACCTCAGTCCCAAGGTCACAAGCGTCCCCTGGATGGTGCTGACTTGGCTTCACCATTGTCTGAAACTTCACACACGGACACATCCCTGCTGAGCCCTTCCTAACGTGCCCGGCATGGAGGTGCAGTTATGAACGGGGACGCCGTCCCTGGCTTTGTGGAACATGCCGTCTTGTGGGAGAGGCAGGCCCTGAGCGACCGTCCGAGTGGCAGGGTGGATCCGGGTTGAAACAGGCAAGTCCAGAAGTTGTGGCAACAGGACAGCAAGATAAGCCTTACCTTCAGGGGGTACCCTGGTCAGGGCAGGCCTTCCCGAGGACGTCAGACTCCCCCTGATATCTGAGAATGCTTAGGAGTGTGCAGGAAGAGAGCAGGGTGGAATGGGGGGCCTTCTTCATCAAGGGGGCTGTGACCAAACCCATGAACTTCCTCTTGGCCTTCCACATCCCCTTGGCCTTCCTGCGGTCTCGGGCACCACCCTCTCTCTCTCTCAAACTTTCCCCCTCCTGCTTTTTTCCTTACTTCCACTGCCCTCCTGTCCCCTCTGCTGGCTCATCTTGCTCTTCACTCAGACCAGTTCAGCCTTTCTAGAGGACAGACATGCTCTCCAGGGCAGTGGACAGTGGTGACAAGAAGCTAGGCTCGGAGGAGGCCAGCCTGGCTGGGGTCCGGCCACTGCTTTACTCCTCACTGGTCGAGGGACTTTAGACAAGCAAGTGATGGGCCACTCCATGCATCGGTGTCCTGTCTGCAAAAGGGATTCCCTTGAACAAGGAGTCCAGGTGGGATAATGCCTGTAACGTGCTGAGCTCAGACCTCTGTAAATCAAGAGGTAATAGCTCCCTCCTCTTCGGTGGCAGCAACTGACTGTTCATGCTCTGTTTTCTCCTGGAAACCTGCTGAATGTGGAGCGTCAAGATGTTCCTGGCAACGGTGCTTATGGCAAAGCTGACCCTCCCTGGTAAATTGCATCTGCCCTGGGAGTTCTCTGGATGACCTCCAGGCATCCAATGAGCCATGGCTGTGAGCTTCTTCAGTGTTGCGATATCTTCTGTAACCAGGAAGGCTCCTTGCAGGAATCCTGGATGCTCTGTCTGTGGGGTTGTCACAGGAGACACTAGCTGCTGTGACTTCTGGACCAGGGCCGCTCCCCATCAGCCTGCACCTGAGATGACACTTGGGGGTGGTCTCATCTGTGGGTGAAAGGATGGAATCCTTGCAGCTCTGACAGTCTATCAATTTATTCATGTACAAATATCTGTTGAGAGCCTGGTACCTGCTGGGAACATTGATGTTGAGCAAAACAGACCCATCCTCTGCCCACAAGGTGCTTACAGTCTAGTGAGGGGATGGCTGTCAATCAGAGCAATCGTACCAGGGTCACCCTAGTGATGTGTCGGTGTAGGGGGGAGATTTGACCTAGGTAGTGAGGTCAGGGAAGGTGCTGGGATCTGATGAACAGGCATTAGTCAGACAAAGAAGGGGAAAGGAAGATTCCAGAAGGAAAGAACACATGCAGGGGCGTTGCAAGCAGTCGTGCGTGGTGGAGAGAATGGGGGAGGCAGAGCCATGCCAAGCAGGTCCTTGGAGGTGGGCTGACTGGGAAATTATTTAATGACCCAGTGCAGCCCTGGGCCTGGATCGATGAGAACTACTGCCCGAACGCTGGTGGTATTTTTGCTGCTTCATCTTGAGAACAATGAGAGGCAGGTGAATGCAGGGTGAGGCTGTGTTTGTGGGAGGAGGGGTTGGCCTGGTTGGTTTTAAAAATGGCAAAGCTTATTCTGGCTGCAGAATGCTGAGATCAAGTCTGTGGGGAGTGAAAGTAGAGAAAAGGTTTTTCTGGAGAAGAAAGCCCAAGGTGTGTGTAGGCTTTGTAGAACATCAGAGGAATTAGCAGCAGGAAAGTTGGCCTTGAATTTCATGATTGGCCCTCTGGGAGACAGATATAAGATGAACAGCCCCTACCCTCAAAAAGCTTATATAGGCCAGGTGTGGTGGCCCACACCTGTAATCCTAGCACTTTGGGATGCTGAGGTGGGAGGATTGCTTGAGCCCAGGTGTTTGACCAACTAGGGAAAAAAAAAAATTAGCTGGTCGTGGTGGTGGATACCTGTAGTCCCAGCTATTCAGGAGGCTGAGGCAGGAGGATCACCTGAGCCCGTGAGTTTAAGGCCCGCAGTGAGCCACGATTGTGCCACAGCACTCAGCCTGTGCAACAGAATGAGATCCTGACTCAAAAAGAAAAAAGTTTAGGGGTCTTGGCTGCTCATCTCAGCTGCCCCATCCCCATTTTTGGCTTCTATGACCCCAACACCTTCTGCGTTGCCAACCACAGACTGAAGAGTGGTGGGTGTGGGGTATTGCAAAATATAGAGGTGCCCCAGGCACCCCAGCCATGAGCAGAACACCTTCAGGGGCTTCTTAAAAACAAATCAAGCCCCACAGCTGCATTTTCCATAGTCTGGAGAGCAACTTGGGCATCAAAGACAGACATTGTCCTTTAAACAGGATGAGTGAAAATTGCATTTCTCTTGATGTGTGTCTCTCTCGTCCCTCCAGGCTCATCTTTGGCACCCTTTACCCTGCATACTACTCCTACAAGGCTGTGAAATCGAAGGACATTAAGGAATATGTAAGTGGCACTGTTTATTTTGGAGGGGTGGCAGCTGAGGGGGCGAGGTGGGCGTGAGGGATTGGGAGACGTGAGTGCCTTCCTTCCCTGAGTGCTGGGAGCAAGGCTGAGGAGTCCCTTCACATGCTTCTTCTCACAAGATGTCTCAGGAGTCCTCTCCCCGTGTAGACCTGTCCCTGTCCTGTCTAGACCTTGAGTGTTGAAGGTAAGAATGCAGAGAGGGACAGCAAGAGGAGAGGGCTTCTGGAATCGGGGGTCCCTCAGCTCTGCCGCGTGCCATGAGTAACTTCACCTCTCTCAGCCTTGGCTTCCTTGTCTGGAAAACACTCTGTAGACCATAAAGCACTGGGAGACAGTCCGACATCCAGAACAGGGGCAAGGGTCCTAGAGTCCAGCGGACCTGGGTGTGGTCCCTGGCTCTGCAGCCCTGCCTCCGTTCCAGTTCTGTTGTTCCAACAGCCCACAGTTTAAGTCCATTGTTTTATAAGGTTTTTATTATTAATTTTTTTTGAAGATGGGGTCTCTCTCTGTCACCCAGGCTGGAGTGCAGTGATGCAATCATAGCTCACTGCAGCCTTGAACTCCTAGCCTCAAGCAATCCTCCCGCCTCAGCCTCCTGAGTAACTGGGACTACAGGTGCATGCCACTATGCCAGGCTGATTTTTTTTTTTAATTTTGTAGAAATAGTCTGGCTATGCTTCCCAAGCTGGTCTCAAACTCCTGGCCTCGAGCAATCCTTCTGAAAGCGCTGGGATTACAGGCATGAGCCACCATGCCCTGCTTGAATAAGCTTTCTGAGGGAAGGGGCTGTTTGTCATCTTTTATCTGTTTCCCATAGCATGTTGAAGAGGGACAAACTTTTGAGGGGGGCCAGGGAGAGCATACCAGTTGGAGAATTGTGTCAATTACTGTTGGACGATTTGGGAACCCCAGGCACCAGCCCCAGATATGCCAGATGCCTTGAGGCAGGAGGACTTTTAGACCACTCTTGATTGACAAAGACCTGCTGGAGTGGGTGGGGAGGAAAAGGTGTCTCTTCCTCTGTAGGGCACACATCCAGGTCAAAGTGTAAAAGGTGTGGATGTTGGTATTACGAGTCCAAGGTCAAGTCCTGGTTCTGATATTTGATAGATGCAGTTCTGGGCAAGGAGCTCAAACTTGTGACAGCCTCAGTGAACAGGAGGGTGGGTAACAGCAATTCCTCTCACTCTCACTTAGATGTCAAGCTTGGCATAGGTAAAGAAATAATTCAAAGTGGGCTTGGAAAGTCATTGTTTCTTTCGCAGATTTCCCAGGAAGTTTTTGTGATGAAACCAGCCACCTCCAGATCAACTGCTGCCAGGACTCATGACCCCGACCCCTCCCCGTTTCCCAGAACTGCTTTCCTCGGCTTGTATCTTCTGCCCCAAGCAGGGATCCATCCAGAGGGGATGATTTCTCCTCTGGAGACCAGGTTCTAGTACATGTAAGGGAATCTCAGAGTGCACGCTATAAATAGCTGCTGAGTTGCAAGCACAGAACTTCCTGGTTCTTGATTGACTTGGCACGGGGCACAGCAGTAGGCAGCCTCTTCCAGCCCTCCTTCCCCTGACCTCTCCTGCCTGCAAGCTGTGCCAAGGAAGGAGGCCTGACTTGGGGTCACCGCGGCACAAAACCTAATCCCTTGCTCACAGAAGCAAACGTTTGATTCTGTCAGCACATCCTAGAGAAATCGACCCCTGCATTGCTTTGCTCTGACTAAACTCGCAGGAGCCTGGCTTATGACTGGAATGGCAATTCATGAATTTGGAGTGAAAACCTTAAGTGATGATCAGAGCAGCTGTTGGCATTGGCTGGTCAGCACTTGCTTTTCCCATCAGGGAAACTCGAGTGTTAAGATGAGAAGGTTTCTTGGTAAAAATGGAATCTGAAGAGAGTCGGATTCTGCTTCCTTTCTCTGCACTGTGACTCTCATGCACTCTCACAGCATGCACACTTACACATGGGCTTGCACACTCATTCTAAGGTTTCCTTCTTGTGGTCTTTTCGACTAATAGACCCATTTGGCTAGGAGAGAAAGCTAGGAGTTTCCATCGACTCCGGCCTCTCCTTACCACCTAGCCCCCCCACCACACACACACTTGGTTGGGGGACCATGCTTCTTCATTCTTAGCCCCTGAGTAATCTTCCAAGCCAGGTCTCTCTTCCTTGTCAGAAATGCGATTCTCATCATTTTCCTTGGGATGTTGCAGGAGCCTCCTGTATTTTTTTTTTTATTGTTGCATTAAAAAATTACTATGAATTTGGAGGCATAAAATGACACAAACATAAGATCTTACCACTCTGAAGGTCTGGGCTAAAATCCAGCCTGGCTGTTCCAGTTCCTTCCTGTTCCAGTTCCTCGAGGCTGTCCCTGCATTCCTTGGCTCGTACCCCATCCTCTCTCTTCAGAGCCCTCTCTCTGTCCTTCCATAGTCACACCTCCCTCTGACCCAGCTGGAAAGGGATCTCCACTTTTAAGGATTCGTATGATTACATGGGGCCTGCCTGGATAACCTAGGGTAATCTTCCCATCTGAAGGTCCTTAACCCAATAGCTCTGCAGAGTCCCGTTCGCCACATGGGGATCAGGACATGGACATCTTTGGGGAGCCATCATTCTGCCTGCCACACCTCCTAACTGGTTCCCTGACTCCCTCTCTTCTTTCCCACTCTGTTGTCACGAGACATCCAGAAGCCTTTCAAAAGGGAAATCTATGTATTTCACCCCTCCCGGGTCCTTTACTGGCTGTTTATCATCTGCAAGGTCAAGTCCAAACTCCATTTACACAGTGTTTAACACCCCTCTTGATCTTGCTCCTTCCTACTTTCCAGCCACCTCTCTGAAGGTTTTTAGTGCTCTGGGTCTCAGTGCCTAAGGTGTGGACCAGCATCAGTAAACATCGCCTGGGGGCTTGTTAGAAATGAAGAATCGTAGCATGGTTGGTTGGGGAGGGGGGTGGCATACGCAGTTGAGGGAAACTACCGGGGGAGGGAGGGGCACACCTCATCAACAAAGGCACCTGCATCATCAATGTTTGTGTACCTAACCCTGAATTGTACCCCACATCTTTATAATTTAAAGTAAAAAGGGGAAAGAAAAAAAGGAATGGAGAATTGCAGGCCCTACCCAGGCCTTCTAAATAACAATCAGCATTTTAACACATTTCCCTGGTTTGAAAAATATGGCTCAAGACACTTACAGCTTCTTACATCTTTCCAAATTTATTGCACTAGTTAAGGCTTGGGGATGAAAACTTACACAGAAGGAATTGATGACCATTCATAGAATTAACTAAAACATGGGAGAGAGAGGCTCTGGAACAGGGAGCGTTCGAGGAGGCAGGAGGTGGCCACAGCCCAGCTCAGACCCCCAGAAGGGTCTGGTTTAGAAGTCTCTGCTGATGTTTCATTGCACACACTGGTTACCTGTGCTTTCAGAATGTTCCCTGAAGACTCAAAGTCCTGGGTAGCGGTATCTGATTTAACTGAAGCCCTGAAGCAGGTCCTGCCCCCCAAAAAGGTGTTCGTGCTTAGAGACTCCCCTAGTTTAGAACATCTTGGATGCTGAGGAGTCAAGGAATAAAAATAGTCATGACAGTTACCTCTTGAGCTGTGCTACACCTGCATCCACATCCACTCTTTACCCATTTTTTGACTTTAAAAATAACCTTCTACTGAGCGTGGTGGCTCACACCTATAATCCCAGCACTTTGGGAGGCCGAGGTGAGAGGATTGTCTGAGCTCACAGGTTTGAGACCGACTTGGGCTACTTGGTGAGACCTCATCTCTACAATTAAAAAAAAAAAAAAATTAACCGGGTGTGGTGACATGCATCTGTCATTCCAGTTATTTGGAAGGCTGAGGCGAAAGGATTGCCTGAGCCCAGCAGGTGAAGGCTGTGGTGGCTGTGAGTGTGCCACTGCACTCCAGCCTGGGTGACAGAGTGAGACTCCAGCTCAAATAAATAAATAAATAAATAAATAAATAAATGGAATACAATACAATAAATCAAAAAATTAGCCGGGCATGGTGGCCCGTGCCTGTAGTTCCAGCTACTTAGAAGGCTCACCTGAGCCCAGCAGGAAAAAAAAAATAGCCTTCCAACAAGAATTCTATGCTGCAACTCACTCACCTGTCAAATCCAAATGTCTTACAGCTCCAGGCCCATTGTCTCTGGGCAACGTCCTTACCTCTTCTGGTTCTGATCCAGCCTTAGTCATTAGCACTGTGAAAACTGAGTTGTCAAGTGAACCCTCACCAACACAGCCCATATGCGTTTTAGCAGGGAGAGAAAGAATAACTTAAAATATAATTAGTTAAAATACATAAATCTATACATAACACGGAGAGGAAGAAAATGTGCATGAAGCTGTGGTTCATATTCATGCAACTGGTCATGAGTTCATGGCTAGTATTTATGTCTTTTGCTAAAACAACTTTCATCGAATGATAAAATCATGACTCTTGTAAGAATACAAAATAAGCACACATTGAAGATTTTATTTACCTTGTGATTAATGAGGGAATCAGGAAAGTGTTACAAAATCATTCAAAGGAGGCTCCAAATAACAGACATACGTAGGCAATCGGGAATGTCAAAATGGCCTTTCCTGCAGGGACAACCTCCCCACGAGAGCATGACTCTCGCCAGGCTGTCTCTTATCCCTCTCCAGAAGAGGAGGAGAGTAATGCAAGGAAAAGCGCCTGGTGCAAAGCCCTGGCTCCTCTTTCCTGGATGCGAAATGCCCTGGATGCTACAGAATCACTGTGGCCTTCAGCCAGGCACGAGCAGCAGCTGTGTGTGTTGTCTGTGCCCCTGTCCTCTGCCCGCCTACAAAAGAAAGAGCAAGGCTCACAGAAAAATGCTCCTTCAGGAGGACACAGCACTGAAAACACCCTGAATCCAGATGAATGGGAAATGATCCCCCAAACCACGTTTTGGATAAAAAAAAAAAAAGAAACAAATGTTGGAATGAATTT